AAATCCCAGGTGCACTAGACCCAGGGGAACCTCGGCAATAGACGCGCAACTCCGGGAAATCACGGGCGACGGAGTGGCATGCGTGAGAGTGGGACTTTCAAGAAACGGGCCCCTGGACACTGAGAGATATATTTCCTCAACAGAAGTTGAGGAGTATACCACAATGCTACGAGCGAGACTGTCAAACAAAGTTTCAACTTTAACTTTTTTTCCTATTTATATATGCACAGAATGTGCAGACATTGGATGAAAACTTATTGTACTGGCTATTAAAAATTGAAAAATAAACAAGCTGAATGTATTTAAGTTTTTTCTTACCTTTTTTACTTCTGTTGACATAGTTGGTGCGAAAGCTGCCATTTTGATTTATGCCAATTCGACTCTCTCTTTCTCAGTCCTTCTCTGACGAAATGGTCAATAAACCCTACCCTGGGGTGAGCCCTGTGTCAGTAAAAGTTTACAACCCCTCCCCCAGGCAAGGCTATTTTGTCAAGAGCCTGTGTATGCCCGGGCTCCCCCCGCTGGGGCAAGACATTGATTGGTGCATAACAATGGTGAAAGGAACAATTGCTGGTGGACGAATAAAAAAAGCTAATAAGATATCTATTGTTGACATAATGTGCAAACCACCAATTCTGATCATCATCTTCATGGTGTTGTCAGATACAAACAGCGCTTTTGTGATAAAGATTTTTGAACTGTATTACTTATTTACAGTTAAGGGACTAACCGGTCAAGTCACTGGAGGATCGTCTTGCACAAAGTCATGTCGCCCGGCTTCTGTTTTTTAGGTCAATTATTTTATTAAGGATGTTACCAAGGCAACATCATGAAGGCAAGATAATATATTCCAATTTTTGGCCTAAATACCTTTACTTTCCTGTGGTGAACACAGTCTTCATACTTTGCTACATTATGGAAATGACATTGCCTGACCTTTTGAAATGGTAAAAGCCTGAGGTCAGTAAGATGGTTTTGCCATTATTCTCTGATTTCTCATTTTTTAGATATATTTGCTTAGCTCTGATATATGTTAACATATATATGCCTTTTAACGGTCAGTTCAGGCCAGCCTTCCTTTCAGTTTCAGTCAATGGATAGGTAAAAGAAAAACTGAAAGTTATTTTGATTTTGGAGTCATTGCCAAGATGTAAATGCTGGCTAAATTTGGCCAAAACAAGAATGCACCAGTAAGATCACATGCAGATGAATGGCAGTTTAGCATTTTCACTAAGTTGAAAAATTCTAGGTAAATTCTTAATTTTTTAAGGCTTATTTTGATTTCTTGAAAGAGTAAAGTGTTGGGTTATTGTGAAGAACAGCTCCCCTCCACCAACAGTCAGCCAACTGTCCGCCAACAGTTGGCCAATTCTAAACCAACAAGCTACCAACAGATTAGCGGCAGGTGGTGAAATAGCTTGATTAGACACCATATTTACATTTTAAAAAACTGATCAAAGCATACATGTGCATTTTTTCATTCAAAACTCAATGTAAAACTTACTATAAATGCTTGAACTTTCTCAAAATACCACTAAAACTAAAAATGGCATGAGAACATTCATTGCGCATTTATTGAAACTGTGTTAATTCTCCATTGAAGAGTGGTGTTTAGAATTGCCCTATGATGCAATATGATCCTGATTTTGGTATATTTGTAGGTCATGTATGTATAAATGATATATCTTGTTTTGATCCGGTTAGCTCAATTGGTTAGAGCGCTGGACTGTTGTGTGGGAGGTCC